TGTTGGAAGGAATCATTAGGGGAGAACCAGTTGTTAACTTTCTAAGCAGTTTGGTGAACCGACTGTTGGAAGGAATCATTAGGGCAGAGAACCAGTTGTTAACTTTCTAAGCAGTTTGGTGAACCGACTGTTGGAAGGAATCATTAGGGCAGAGAACCAGTTGTTAAATTATTTGAATCCCACCACTGCATACAGAGAGAAAAAAAAGATGAAGAAAAGTGATGTAAACATCCATATATTGACCTACGAGCTGTTAGGCATGGCCAACTTGAACAATAGCAACTTAAGTTCATTAAAAGTCAATCAGGACTCCTTAGCAATACTTCTGAGGGAGATGGAGGGTTGCCTTTGCATAATTTTAATGAAAAATAGTAGAAACCTTTCAAACACCCCCCCCCCCAAGTGTAATCTGGTTTTATCTATAATGAAAATTTAATTAAAAATATACGAAAACAGCTTTCACATCCCGTAATCCCCAGCTGATTTTCTCTTTAGTCTTTCTGGCTGGGACATTTTGAATGTTGAAAACTGGGGCCATGGAAGAAATATGCATTTGTTGCAGTTAAAGACATATTGATTGGTAAGGCTAGGAGGATCGACTTCGAAAGAAAAGTGGGTTTGGGATCACAGAACCCAGAGAGTCACGAAGACGAGGAAAGCGGAAAACACAGAGAAGTATGGAGGTGTTGGAAGACACGTCCATCTGGGTTCAGTTCCAAGTGGGGGAAAAGACACTGGAATCATGGAAATTGCTTGGAAAGAAGGTTTAATGGTGGACAGGATCACATAATTTGAGGTCTTGAGGGGGAAAGGGAAGGGATGCTGAGAGTGCCCGGGTTTCATGCCCTCTCTGGGCTTTTGAATTTGAGCTTGCATCCTGATTGGTTGTCAAACTCCCATGGGGCCATGCAGGGATAACTCCGTAGGCTGTCCTGAATCCCAAGCTTGGTTGACTCTTGCTGGATGACGATGTAATGAAAGGGCTTTGGGATTCCTATTACGGCTCTTCCTGAAGGAAGTAGAGCTTTGTTTTGTAGAGTAGGCTGGCTCAGGCCTTAAGGGCCCGTTGACAAAGGTGGTGGTGGGGGAATGAGTTTCTGTCTCCCTTTTAGGGGAAATATTCTGTCCTTTTAAGATTTCCTAAAATATCTCCTTGGTCTAGGAGAGGGGTGGGTGCTAACTTCCTACAGATATATATTCTTTACCCTACCTTTGTGATTTTTCCAGAGGTCTCAGTGCCTCCCCAAGAAAACACAGGGACAACCTGAAGGAACCACTGAAGGTCCTTGGCTACAGAAACAGCGAAGAAGAATGGATCCTGCTGCATGACGTCATTGTGCGAAATGCAAGGAACGGGCTTGTGTCATTTGACTTAGAGGAACCCTTAGAGAGGTGAGATGGATTCGTCAAATGTGTAGATCAAGGGTGTCAAACTCAATTTCATTGAGGGACGCATCAGGGTTGTGTTTGACCGCAGAGGGGTGGGGTGGGCATAGCCAGCTTGATGTCACTCGTGTCGAGGAGGGAGCCCGTGGTGCAGAGGTGGGTTCCTACCAGTTCGCACCTATTCGGTAGAACCGGTTCGTCAAATCTACCGAACCGGTTAGAA